TTTCAACAATAAAGATTTAAAAAAAAAATAATAAAAAATAAAATTAGCCTGTTTTGAGTCCAACCAACACCTACCTACACTTTGACTTTAGGTCAAAGATGTTTCTCATTTGACTGTTAAGTATCCACTTGGATAAGTCACTATCTGAAATGTACTTGAAGATTAAAATAGCAAAATTAGCCCAGCCGGTGTGGCTCAGGGTTTGAGCATCGACCCATGAACCAGGAGGCCACAGTTTGATTCTCGGTCAGGGCACATGCCCAGGTTGCAGGGTTGAGGCCTCAATTTCCAGTGAGGGGTGTACAGAAGGCAGCCAATCAATGATTCTTTCTCATCATTGATGCTTTGTCTCTCTCTCCCTCTCCCTTCCTCTCTAAAATCAATAAAAACATACTTAAAAATAAAATAGCAAAATTAATAATAGATTGATGACATCTTCTTAGACCACCTAGAGAACACATAAATGAAAGCAATAAAGGAAGCAAAAGTGGGAAGAAGTATCTAGAAAATGAAAATTGTTGTGTTCCCTATTTAAGGGCCATGCTTAGAAAGAAGGTCATCAGAGAACCTGAGGCCCACGATTGTTCTCCAGACGCCCAGCTCAGCCAGGCCAGCAGCACCCTCGTTCGCCCATGGCCCTCCTGCTCTCTCTACTCACCGCCCTGGTGGTGTTCAGTGCTGGCCCCGGGGGAGCTCTGGGCTGTGACCTGCCTCAGGACCACGTTCTGCTCAGCAGGGAGAACTTAGAGCTTCTGAGCCAAATGAGCACGATCTCCCCTTTCTTCTGTCTGAAGGACAGAAAGGACTTCAGATTCCCCCGGGCAACGGTGGATGGCAGCCAGGTCCAGAAGGCCCAGGCCATCGCTGTCCTCCACGAGATGCTCCAGCAGGTCTTCAACCTCTTGTCCACAGAGAACTCCTGGAACACGACCCTCCTGGACCAACTGCGCTCAGGACTCCATCGGCAGCTGGAAGACCTGGACACGTGTTTGGTGGAGGAGATGGGAGAGGAAGGATCTGCCCTGGCCATGCAGCGCCCTACCCTGGCCTTGAAGAGGTACTTCCAGGGCATCCGTCTCTACCTGGAGGAGAAGAAATACAGTGACTGTGCCTGGGAAGTTGTCAGAGTGGAAATCAGGAAATCCTTCTCCTCAATAACAGCCTTGCAAGAAAGGCTAAGAAATAAGGATGGAGACGTGAGGTCACCTTGAAAGGATTCTCGTGGATGAATGTGCCACATCACGTTTGCACATATTTCTTGGGTCATGTCAAAAAGCTCTTATTTCTGCTTTAGTTACAGAATTTAAGTTTTATTTAGCAAATCTTTTCTCAGATTATTAAGCATGAAAATGTTACAAAATTTAGTTCCTGGGATATCAGTCCTTAAAAAATACCTGCCCTGATGTTATTTATCTATTTATTGTTTATTTATTATTATATTTATGTATTTATATAACCAATATTTGATCTTAATGTATATTAATATTTGCAAAACATGTTTACTCCTTTGTCAACCAGTTTGCATTTTGCTTTATTAAATTCTTATCAAAGAAATCTTCTGAGTTCTTTGATTCTGAAAACCTAAATCCTTATTTTGTTCTATATAAATCTATCTTAGAATAAGATCTGTCTATTAAGTCCTATAGAACAGTTCCACCATTAGTCAGAAAATGCTTATCAAAAGCTGGAAAAGCACGGAACTGAGAAGAATCTTGGAAAATATGGAAGACGTTCAGTACTTATGCCTGAGTTGTAATTGATTTATATTCCATGGAGAAGTGGGTAGAAAAATCCAAGAGGAGTCAATCTAGAGTGGAGTAGGAAAGATATACGGTATTTGTTGGCTGATCCTGGCAGCTATGTTCTTCTCCTCCTCCTCTCCCCAGTCCTACTTTACTGAAGGTGTTCACTCCTTTATACCATCCCTTGGCTCCCCACCTTACTGCCCATCCCCCCAGGTTCTCTGGTTCTGTTGTGTCTCAGCTTCAAGGGTTCTACTTAGAGTAAAAGCCAAAGGAAAAGAGCAAAGCGAGGGAAGCCCGGGTCCCAGGTGCCAGAGGGAAGCCGGTGCCGGCAGCCGGGGGAAGGAAGGCCTACTCTTGCATGAATTTTGTGCATCGGGCCTCTAGTCTATACATAAATACACGTGTATAATTTTTAGTTTTTTTCATTTTGTTTTGACATACTGTGTGAAAAATCTCTTAGCCAGCACTGTTCTTTTACTTTGTCCAAGACGCCCAGCACAGCCAGGAGCACCCTCATTTGCCCATGGCCCTCCTGCTCTCTCTACTCACTGAACACCCTGGTGGTGTCCAGTTATGGCCACGGTGAATCTCTGGGCTGTGACCTGCCTCAGGACCACGTCCTGCTCAGCAGGGAGAACTTAATGCTTCTGAGCCAAATGAGCACGATCTCCCCTTTCTTCTGTCTGAAGGACAGAAAGGACTTCAGATTCCCCCGGGCAACGGTGGATGGCAGCCAGGTCCAGAAGGCCCAGGCCATCGCTGTCCTCCACGAGATGCTCCAGCAGGTCTTCAACCTCTTGTCCACAGAGAACTC